ATACAAATCTCACTCACTTAACAACGAGCACGGCATTGCTGCCGTGATTGTAGGGAGTATTCACTACAACCACCCTGTAGAGCTACTTGTTAGACGGTAGAATTTAGGCCTTGTAATCAGGCTGGAACAGCCAGCAGTCTCCACAAAGGCCGCTTTGAGCTATGGTTCAGAAATAAAGACTGTCAAAAAGTTATTGCCCCCCTACATCCTCCAGGCATCTTATGCAAAGTTAGTTTCCCCTGTTGTCATGGGCTGCCTCGAGTATTCATCTCTCATACGTGCCAACAGTTGAAGAAAACCAACCAGGTGAAGTTATATAGAACGTATTATTAATTTCTGCCTAGTGCAAAGCAGGTATAACGCATTGCTTGCCTCAGCAGGATCGAATAATGCCGAGTATTCCGCAATTGTGAGTGGGACTGGCACTAACATGCAGAGCAGCGGCAACGCTTCTCGATTCTAAACTTCGTCTGATTTCTAAAGAGTTCGTCAAGGCTATATATACCGCTCCGCTGGCACTATATAAATGTGACACCATCATCCACACTACAGAAGCGATCACTTCCGCTGCTCTCTACACTACCCTACAAATGCGAGCACACCACCAGCTCTGTTTCTCTATCCACGTAACTTCAGGACTGTCAAGCACGAAAGCACCTGGTGCAGTGATCACTACCCTTGCCCAAAAGGGTGAAGAAAGCAGAGAAACTCCACCAAAGGCAGAGAATCCCCTACAAGCACATCGATTGCAGGCCCCGCCTTACACAGGAGCGACCGACCCATGAACGTTTCGCAGTGCAGGTCCATCCTACCAAGACGACGAAAGCATTCTGAGTAAGAATTATTATATGAAACTCCTTAGGATGCAGAAACCCTCACGATTCCACAGCTACGCCGTGAGAGGCAACGAAACTCGCAGCCTGCGTGTAGTGGGGCGGAGCGGCAGACGGGCCTATGGGTGTCACTGGAGAGGAGCCTGCGCTTATTGTCAAAATTTTTCAATGGAATTACACTGTTTTGTTTATGCGTTTTGTTTTGCTCGATAGCTCTGGCTGATGCTGGTGAAAGCGACGCCCTCGGCAGAGGGCGTGTTGGGGTAAGCTGCATGGAACGAGAGCTTGTACGCCCCAGTGATTTTGCATTATGTTCTCTGCGAACAAGAGAAAATTAAAAGACAAGGGGTGTGCAGCCTTGAAAAGATGAGACGGGGTATATGCTGCTGTGTGGGGCGTATAGCGATAGGGGACAGATGGCTGCTGCAGCATTTGCTGCGCGCACTGTTCTGGCATCTCACGACGTTACCCTGTAGATAGGCTGGCGGCGGCGGCGGCTGGGTTTGTGATTGTCTCTAAATTGTTTTTCTCTGTGCATTTCGCATATATTCCACAGCAGTTCAAAGGCCTTGGCGACCCAAGACACCAGAATGGCTCGCAAGAGGCGGACTGAAGCAGAGGCGGCTGCCGGCGGCGCCGCGCCTGCTACTGCTAGCAAGGGAGGACAGCCTGGGGACAGTGCCTCCAAACCCAGTGACGGAGCCTCGAGCAGTAACCCTAAAGGGGGCTCTGCTCATGGGCAGGGCCGGCAGAACAGGCAGGGAGGGGAGGCGGCGTCTCGCCAGAGCGGCGTCGGGGCGCCCTCGGCTGCGGCTGCAGAGGCTGAAGTTAATACCTCGTTTTCTTCGGCATCAACAAAGAGCAACAGCTCCGCAGCAAAGGATGTTTTAAAGGAGCCAGAAGCCGCTTCTGGGAACCAGGACAGCTCCCCGGGGTCTGCGGTGCTGCTGCGCCGCGAAATCGACATGACTGGCATGACAGCCAGCCAGAAGAAAAACCTCAAGAAGAAGCTGCGGAAACAAGAGCAAAAACTACAGGCAGCTGAGCTGAACGATGCGATGCGGGTGGGGGCGGGCGCAGCCACCCTAGCATCTCGTCTGAATAAGATGGTTGAGGAGTGGGGAGGCAGGCTTGAAGGGTTAGAGGCTAGCATTGGGCAGGGGGGAAACATGAAACAAGTCATCGAGGCGGCGGAGCAGCTGCAGAAGGAGATGCAGGAAACGCAGGATGAGGAGGTAGGCCGCGCAAAGAAGCCCATCAACAAGCGCGCCACAGTGCAGCAGGTGCAGGAGAAGATAAAGGAGGCGGAACTAACAATTCAGAAACAGCAGAAGGAGCAACAGAGACTGAATGCACAGCAGGGCAAACAAGGCGCAGAGGAGAGGAATGCTGAGGTTGCTGCCTTGCAGTCTCGTCTGGAGGAGTCGATGCGGTATCTGACGCATCTTAAGGAGCAGTTGGTGTTGACGCAGCAGCAGAGTGACCTTCGTACGTTTCAGCAGCAAGTGTCGGAGCTGAAGATATCCCTAGAACACGTCATCAAGCAAGCTCGCAAGGCAGCGGCTCAGGCAGCAACAGCCACAGACAACCGCCGCGTGCAGCAGCGCGAGGGCCTCCTGCGGCGACGACTGAAGGAGGTGGGGGCAACGGTACCAGAAGACGGGGGAGCATCACTGACAACGGTTCCTGTTTCACTGCCCCCAGAGGCTTCTTACATTCTGCTGACACCCCAGGGTCAGCCTTCATTGCTGCTGCGTAAAGTTGAGAGAAAGTTCGGGGTTCTGGCGGAGAAGAAAGGAGCAGGAGAGCGCGGTGTCAGTCTCAGCATAATTTCTTATGCTCAGGATGCATGCGATAAGTGTGTGGCTTTCTTGAATGCATGCAACTTCCCTCAGATACCACTGGGGTTAACTACCTCCCCCAATTGCGTTTCGCTTGAGGGGCAGAGCATAGGTGCATTCATCGGTAGCGGCGGAGCAAACCTACGCAGACTCGAAGCCGAGCTCGATGTTCTTCTCTGGGTTGAAGACAAATGGATCACTGTATTGGGACACGAAGCAGCCGTCAAGAAGGCCATCCCCCACATCAAGGTGAGACGGACACCCGCTATATATATATATATATATATATATATATATATATATATATATATATATATATATATATATATATATGTATATGTGGTGGTGTTAGTGATTTTTTTTTGTATTTCATGATGACTCCCAACGAGGTAACTGTGTAAGACATTCCAGGATAGTACCAGCTGATTGTACGGTGTATGCGCTGCATAGGCGATGAACATTGTTGTATGACGTTATATTAAGTATTTTTCGGGTGTATACGTTGAGGATAGAAGTACACATACTGTGTGTAACTGGTTCTTCAGGAGTCACGATCGCCGCCGTCAGCAAGCGACAGCTCTGTACCTCAGCACAAGGTAGAGTTCGACGCCGAGGTGGTTCGTGCGATGGCTCAAGGCACCTCGAAGACGCGGGCAAAGGTGCAGGAGGTGGAGAGTTCGTTGGGGGTGACGGTGCTTGTGAGGCCGCCGCGACGCGGTGACACGAGCAAGACGGCTGCGGTCGTTGTCAGGGGTGCAGACCAGGAGGCGTGTAAGAAAGCCTGTACAAGTCTGGAGAATGCCTTCAAGGATTTCGGCTCAGAAACTGTTGAATGTGACAGGATGAAGGCAACTAGGATCCTTCGTGGGGCGCCTGTAGACTTTAACGTTCAGTAAGCTGCTACTACCGCGCCGAGTTTTTGCTTTTGCATCGAGTTTTTGATAGTTTGTATGCGGGAATTGTTGTTTTAGCATGGAGAGAATACATTGTGCATTTGTGCTGCAGGGGTCATGAACTGATCTCGCTGCTGCGCTGTGATGAGGGGGTGTTACTGGTGGGTCCTTCTAAGTCATTGCCGGCGGCCGCCGAGGCACTCCGTGCAGCAATGGATCAGTTTGCTCGCGCGACGGAGACGATGGAGATAAAGGCGACGCAGCTACGAATTCTGGATAGAGCTAAGAGAGGGGAGATTGAAAGCCTCAGTGGCGCTTCTTGCAGGCCGCCCATCCACGACGGAGAAAAGGTCACACTGACATTCACGGGGCATCCGGATGCCGTGCAGAGGGCGTTTGAGTTGGTTCGTCAGACGCTAGAGGAGCAGAAAGAGGAGGAGATGGAGCTTTCGCTTGCAGCTGCTCTTCTCTTCCTTGTTGATAGGAGCCACCGCGACCTAGAGGATGCGCATGGCTTGCGCATCCGTGTGGATGTCCCGAGAAAGGCCCTTATTGTACGTGGGGGAACAGAGGGCCACGATGCGATACTAGAAGCGATCAAGAAGGTGGAAGATGAAGTCGCTAGTAGCGGCAAGGTTGCTACAACAATGGCAGTTCCCCGTGAGGCGGTACCTATGATTCTGGGCCGTCAGGGTGCGAACGTTCGTCGTCTGCAAAGCGAATGCAATTTAGACAACATCGTTATAGATGGCCGCCCGCAGGCGGTGTATATGTTGGGTTCTCAAGCTGCAGTGGACCAAGCCACGGCAATGCTGCAAGAGATCGTTGCCAACAGCAGCGCGCCGCGAGCACAACAGAATGGGGTCGACGGAGGTGATGGCCGCCCGCGTCTAGGCGGCAGAGGAGTCGGGCGTGGCGATCGTAACGATGCAGGGGGAAGAGGAGAAGATGGAGGTGCTCCTAGGAGACGGGGTGCAGCAAGCAAGCCGACAGCGCCCCCCAAGCCGTATAATGCGAATGTAGATGATGAAACAGCTTTCCCGTCGCTCGGTGCTTGCATGGCACGTCCGGGCGGTCGCTGGCAGAAGAAGTCACCCGAACCCGAACCTGCTGCAGCACCCGCGGAGGAGCCTGCAAAGGCGAGCAGTGAAGCCGTACCAGAGGTATCAGAGGAAATAGAGGAAGAAGAGTACGTTGGCGTTGAGGCTACTGCAAATTAACTAGTCCATGTGCGGGGCGGCGCGCCCGCACCCCCACCCATTGGGCATCCCTGTGTAGTAGAGCCCATCATCGTATATAGTTTACATACAGAGTGCATGCGTATGGCATATGGTGGCGAGTGGACGTTTGACAACATGTTTAGATCTGTCGAACCAGGATTTGCGTGTTGGCGCTGCTAGTGGGGGTGATGAGTTGCACCAGTGCCGCTGATAGAGGAACGCACTGCTCAGAAACCCCCATTCAGCTTGGCCTCGGTCTATTATAATTCCCAGCTGACTCCTCTTCTGGCTCGCGGGGGCATATAGTCGATCAACTCATTTTTGAGGTTTGACCGCTGCGCCTGCAGCTCGTCGCCGCTTTAGCCAAGTTGAGCAGCAGCTAGAAGAGGAAGAAATGCATCTGCAAGTTCTTTTATTGGGTCATCATGCCGCTAGAACTACCGAAGCTGCTATAAAAGGCTACTGCTACTGCCTCCCCCCGCTGCTTGAGATTGGTGCAGCTCCGTTTTGTCGCTTCTGGCGGTCGCAGAAACTGGCTGATTTAATTGGTGACTACATTGCCTCGCAGGTTTCAGAATGAATGCACTGATATTCAGAATATTCATTGTGTTGCAAATTCGAGTGAGACGAGACACTCTACGGAGTTGTCAGAGGTAAACCTGTAGAATCTGCTGGCGTTACAGGTTCAGCAGAAACCAGTTACGGCCAACATATAAGAGAGTCCGTGCAGACACTGCTCGCTACTACTACTATGCACGAGGTCTGTGCGCGGTGCCAGCCGCGAAGAAGCAGGCAAAAGCCCCCTTTCATTTGCCCATGTTCATTGCGGTCTTGAGCGCCAGGTGGGAGTTCCGGGATGGCCACACCACGCCTCCCTCCATGGCGTTCAGCGGCTGAATGGAGTACAGCGGTTGAGCAGTCCGCGTTGCGCCGTTACTCCTGAATCGCATAGACATACAGAGGAGCAATCGGTGGTGGATAGATACAATGCAGCAGCAAAACGCCGTTCGTCGTAAGCTGGGGAGCAGGGACCCTATCCTTACAGATCCGAAATGGCAGTCTGCTGTTCAATAAGGAGTAGATAGATATCTCTTTCTAAACAATACACAATGGCTTACCATAGACTCAGACAATTCAAAGTGGAACAACATGTGTCGTCTTTCGACCTGCAGACGACCCTAAGTTTCTGTCCTCGTGATCCGTCTGGATGGTGCTGCGTCAGTTGTCTACTGCCACAGAACGGAAGAGTGCAGCCCTCTTCGACTACGACCTCTTCATGCTTGCCATTGGCGGCTACTGGACCCATCCAGGGTCTTCGTAGAGGTAGTTCTTCTCTACCGGACGTCGTCCCCAAGGTCTGAACGTCTGACTCGCCAACAGTTTCATTGACCTGCAAATGCTTCTTTAGAAGCCAATCATTTGTGTTGCGGGCTATCGACATGATCAACCCATCACGAAACGCGAGCATATCACGAAGGGCTGCTATTTGCTTCTCCGCAACAGTTACAGCTTCCATCAGCCGAAGCTCTTTAACAGCTGCTGCTTTTTGCCCTTTCTGCATTTCGTTTTCTGTTTTCTCCAGAGCGGCCTGCAGCTCCGCAGCCTCGCTTCTGCTCGCCTCGAGTTGTTTACGGAGTTTTTCAACCTTTTCCTGAGCTTCACGTTGCTCAATGAGCGCCGCATTACGCTCGCTCGTTAGTGCCTGAACGTCAGCGGTAGCCGCACGAAGTTTTTCTTCTGCTTCCAGAAGCCGCTGCTTCATATGAGTATTCCGATCCTCCCATACCCCAGCTTGTTTGATCCGTGAGGCCCTGATGTCTTCCACCTCAAGTAAGGCTCTCTCCATTGCCTCTGATGTAACTTCCAGCAACTGGCCGACTTCTTCGCTCGGAGCGGCACGAAGGCCTCCAAAACCAGCAGCTGTATCCGCTGAGTCGACACCAGTGGATGCTGCACGCGGTGGTGCAGAGGGGAAGCCGCTTCTGCGGCTGATGCGTCCCTTATATGTTATTCCTGTCGCTATATCCTTCGAACTTTCAGTAGTTACAGGAGGTGATATCCTCAAGTCCTGTGCAAGTGTAGTGGCCGAAGGAGAACGCCTCACAGCAGCCAAAGGTGAGAGTCTCTCGAAGAGGCTGCTGCGGATGCGCCCCCTTGGTGTTTCCAAAGTCAGGGCCGTCCCTACTTGAGAATCCAGTGAGCCAGCCTCTGACACCGCTCTGCTTGCACCCATCGCTGCGCTCAGCAGGGCCTCTGGACGGGCTGCGGAGAGTTTGCGTTGCATTGGTGATCGCGGAGTTTCAGGAACCGTGAAGTTTTTAATGACATCCTTCAACTCGTTGATCAAGATGTCCTTTTCCGACGTTTCTGCTCGCCAGCGCGCTACCTAGAAGCATTCATAAGGAAATAGTCAAGCAGCAACAACAGGATATAGGCTCTGTCTCCTATGTATGCTTTATGGGCTGTTCGCTGCGCTACACAAGTCCCACTTCATCATCCAGTGAGGGGTCTTACCTCTCGCTGCAAATTCTCGTTCTCCTTCTTGAGCCAGTCATTGCTTCTGCACATTCACAGGTCCAAACGTGCAGCAATCAGGAGAATTTAGTGGAAATAAGAAAGCCAAGAAACACCATATTCAAAACAACGGCCAAAAGAAAATGGCTGGCTAAATCCCTAAAAACTTACGAAGCGCGCTGACACGGAGCATCTACTGCTGCTTGCACTTCTCGAACCACTTGTTGAGGCGGGCTACTTCCCCCCAGCTTTTCCACGCGTACGCGCAAACTATCCAACTTCACCTTGAGCGACTGCATCAGGACAATGACAGCAGGCGTTCATGTCTAGCAATGAAGCCTCGTGAAGAGTAGCCTTAGTGCACAGCATTAAGCCTTCATCCTTTCTACGCTTTCTTTTCTGTTTCCTACTCTGCATTCCCCGTCCCTACCATACGGCCACTTGATTAAACAAAACGATGAAAGCTTCTAACAGTCAATAAAGTTTGTAGATCATAGTTATGTATGCAGAGAAAGACGCACCGCATTTTCTCCCTGATAAATGTTCAAGTTTTTCGACACTCGTCTTTGTTCACGTAGCTGTTCGTCTTTAGCTCTAAGTTCAGTCTGGAGGTCTTCGAATTCTTCCAACTGCAGCGAAAAGAGCATAACTATGTCCTCCACAGATGGAGCGTGTAGTGCACGAGCAGCAGCAGGAACACGCAAACTACGAGCTCAGCAACTACTGCTGCCAAATACATCAAGCACTCGCATAGAAACTATCACGCACCAATTGATCGTTACGTATCCGCTGTTGTTCCACCTTCTCAGACAAGAGATCGTTATTTTTGCGTAGCTCGGTAACCTGCAAGGAGAAGAAACAATACTCACACAAAAAGTTTCAGATCGTCGAAGCAACGGGGTTTGTGCCTTGATCCACTCGTCTGGCACAAAAGACTGCAGAGTACAAAGAACATATCTGCACTAAGTTGTGGTTACCTCTTGGGTAACTCCGTGTAACTTCGGTGCAATCTCCGTAGACACCATTTTGTAAATGTTTCTAATAAGCGCCATGAATGCGGCATCCTCTCCGTCCTCCTCCTCACATATGCTCTGCACAGCTGTAGTCGACCGTCTCAACAAAGGCTGGTCGCGGATACCAAAAGAAAGTCGACTACGGGACGGTACTGCATCGCATCCTCACAAGCAAGTGCACGATTCTCAATGCGCAGTTAAACTTAGCCCGTACAGGGCATGAGGTGCATGGCTATTTCTGCATGTTCTTGAACCCTTCTGAAGGCTTACGCTGGCTTGCTCCAGCGGATGATGAAACGTTCGAGTCAGTAGACTGGAGCACAACGTCAGACCAGCTCCGTCCTTCGCTTCGCTTGGAAGCATAGCGCGACTTGTTGTGCAGCTTCTTAAGGTCAGCATCGAACCCCCGAAGAAGATCTTCTATTTCAGAAAGCATGGCTTGTGCGAGTTCACGCCCTTTGCTCTTGTACGTCGAGAGTTCATTTGTCTGCAACGACTCGGCCGATGCGCTCGAAGAGAAGCGTCCCAGCGACATTCCCCCGCTGGTTGAGCCTGGCATCTTCAGGACAGCCGGTACAAGAAGTCGTGTACAGCAACTACAGGGTCACTAAAAAACCCCCCGTCTACTCCCACTCCACAAGGGTAATAAGCCAGCCTCTCAACTAAACGAGCAGCACCACCCAGAGGCAGTAGCCGCCACAGCCCTAGCCAGAGTGCCACCACCGGGTTCCCTCTCTCCTGCGCAACTTATTTGAACTTTTGTCTTTATAGAAACAGGACCAGCGTTTAGAGGCACGGTCGCCAGCGTTGGTTGCAGCAGTCAGCAGGTGATGCGTCTCCCTGCCGTATCGACGTAACACACTGTTCCCCCCGATAATCTTCTAACGGAGATCATTCGCCTGTAAAGTCGGCCTTTCAGAAATTGACTTGTCTCTAAAAGTATAGACAAATGCTTCTTTTGCTGACTGGTTGTATCTGTGTGCAGATACACAAGCCATACCCCAGGCACTGGCGCCCACCCCGGCCATAAGATCAACGAAGCATCATTGAATTTGAGATGAAATGCCTCAGTTTGAAGCCAATTTAGGTTTCCATAGTTGACAAAACAACATTAACTGAAAACGTGTCGTCGTCTGTCGAGACGGAAGAAGTCGCCGTCACATGTACATGCCAGCGGCTTTCTTGGCCTCACGGAAGCCGCGGCTTCTTTGTCACTATCTTCGTGTATAACTCGGAAATGAATAATAAATAGTGAATTAACATAACCACAAACAATAGGCTCCTTCATTTAATACTTGTGGCTGAGATCTCCGTCATCATGGGGGGGTCTAGCGTTCGATTGCGAAACCGTCGAACAAAGCACTGCCTCGCGACACAACAAGTCCGAAGCGACCCTTGTCTAATTCAATAATTAATTATGACAAAAACTGCTATTATGATTTGCTCTCAATGTTTTTGTACCTTTGAATGGCGCTTGATAAGAAAGAACAGCCCTGCCGTCCACCAACATCTCCAGTGGTGCACCCTCTCCTGGGTCATCCTGATGGCCGATCACCGCGAGAAACATTTTTCACTTTAAACATTGATCCTTACTACGGTAATTTGATGCCGAATAGAAGGATTTATGTAGAAAACAGGGGCTTCAATTAGACTGGTCTGAACCCCGTCGCGAGTAGCAGACAGACTGGCGACCTGTGCAACTTGAATGTACTGAATTTTGAAACGAAAGACTACCCAACTTACCCGTCTATCTGTGTCAAGGGTTGCAGCAAAGTAGTCGGTCTGTCCTCTTGAGCGAAATATGATTCCTGCGGCAGAGGCGTCGCCCAGCCGGACGAAAGCCGTAACTCGAGCGACATTGCATTCATGGCCTTTGAGCAATAAACTCGTCGGCGATGATACTGCATGCACATACGCTGGCTCATATATGTTTCGCTGAAACGTTAAACTCAGTTTCTTACACGGTGTCATCGATGCAGGAGTGAGACGCATGATTCCCAATTCTAAGAGATTCCGCCACTGTACAGGGCTTTCCCAGTCTGATGAAGCCGCTTTGTTCGACCAAAGCTCTCGGGTCAACTGTATCAAATGGTACCTTCAAGTGACATTGCAGGATTGCTGTACGTTTCACACAGAGGGGCAACCCCCGGTACCGGTCGGTGAGCAGGAGCAGGGCCGTGAGCCTGGTACTGCCGTCCTGCTTTGTCAACTGCTAAGCCGCTGACGACTCTATCGCCTGGCAATCGTTCGCTTGTTCCAGGCTTCTCAACCCGGAAGAGTTCATTCTGAAGAGCCAAATATGTCGTCAGGGTCACCGGTACGCAGCTACAGAGCATCTCCCCCACCTCTGCTGTGTGCACGCCTGTGAAGGATTCCTGCACGGGCTCCACTTCCACCACAGGGTTTTCTGACTCAGGGTAGAATGGAACGGCTTTCCGAGCAGTAGTGTACTCGAGATCTCGTGTCCATGATGGAACGGAGTCGACGCTTTGATCATCATAATTCTGAAACCGTTTTGTTCGCGCTCCCCTATTCTCTACTGTATCCTGATCTTTACCGCCCTACCGCAAGCCAAGGGATTCTCTGGCGGCGCTCTTGTAGCACATCCTGACACAGTCTTTGTATTCGTAAAAAGCACGCGATGCTAGGAACTACTTTCAGCATACTTGGGGCCTAGAAGAACTCCCTTTCTCCCCCAGCATCCACGCTGCGACGCGTGTACACCAGCACGCTGCTGTTGCAAACGTCAGCAACAACGGCCACAATGCACCTATCATTACAAAATCTTTGCACGCAGCGATGGACACATCATTCGTAGCATACCCAGTAGCAGTGTTGCTAGATGAGGCTCGTTGACTTTGTTGAAATATTCATCGCGCCGTCGAGACACCACACCTGTGCATGCATGCAGTCACGTTTTTTCGAAAGAAGCACCAATAAATACTTACCCGGAAGCGGCAGTGTTCGAGGCAAAGAACTATATGAAGCCTGTCGCCGAGGAATACTACCAGTTTCGCTGCGGAGTACTCCAGGGCAACAGAAGCGCAGGCGCTGCGCAGAAGTATAAGAGCAGTGGTGTTAACCCTCGTATAAATTAAACACCGCGCTTCAACATCTCATGTATAATTTTGTATAATTTATACAGGAAAGCTTATGTGCAGCCAGGCGTGCACACTGCTAGCGTCAATTCACATCACGCTGTTCGCGTGATGGGCAGTGTGCCACCGCCGCGGCATGCAAAGGCGCCAATGACGCAAAGACTGAACTAAAGAACTTTATGCCTCTGCTGCATCCGACTCTTCACCCGCTTGCCCGCCGCTGATTTCTTTGCCGTGCGGAGCTGGTGAGTCTGAGAGGCCTGAGCCATCGGAGATGGCCGCGTCGTCGTCGCTCGACTGGTGATGGTTTACGTGAATCCCGATGAGGGATTTCTGCAGAAAAATAAACATGTAATTCACAGCTGCGATGAAGCGCAATTCTCGCCGTATCAGGTCATCATGAAGGAGCATTTGGGCGGAAACAACAATACTAATACAACTAATTAAATAAGAAAATACATAATATGCGTTGCTGCCTCACCATGGGTTCAAACTTGCGCGCAAAGCCACGCAGCAATCTGTGCGACCGACCCCTCCATGTGTCGTAGGTCTGGTGAATGCTGTTGCGGAGCTTCTCGACGCTTTCGTCAAAATGTACGCCCTGCGGACGCCGAAGGACAGAAGAATATAAAGACAACTGCCATGGGCAAGCGAGCAACCAGTCCCCCAGCAGATGAATCCTCATCAACAGCTGAGATACTACTAGCACACAGTTAGGGTTGCTGCTCTAAACCCTTAAGCGCTCACCAGCGGTCTGTCTGTTAGCGTGACCTTCGTCAGCTCGTCTGAGACCTTCTCTCCCCACCGCTGCATATTTTTCTTCATCTGCAAACATGAACCCCGCCGAAACCAGTTGCACCAAGGCTTACTGTCTAGCTTACTGCATGCGTCGCTTCTGGATGCTGGGAATACACAGGAAAAAACACACACCTTTATTGCGTTGGCCTTCGTGTAGCCTATGTTCATCTCCCTAGGTTTCACTCCTCGCGACAGCGACCTGCAGCAACCGCCCACAAACGTCTCAGCCGCAAATACGCTCCCGCCCGCTCTCATAAGCAGGAGGGGTACTTAGTGGGCCCACGCAGCGATGCAGTTTATACACATACCTGTCTACATAGTCTTCGTAGTTCTGCAGGATGCGGACGATGATATCTGTCGTTGAAACACCCTGGGTTCGGACTGTCGCCCTGAATTTGTTCTGCATACAAAAGGCGAGCAGCTTGTGCTGCACTGCAAGGCTAGTGAAACTGAACACCAAGAGAAAAGAAATAAAGAAGAAACCCAAAACAAAAAAAAAAAAAAAAAAAAGGGGNAAAAAAAAAAAAAAAAAAAAAAAAAAAAAAAAAAAAAAAAAAAAACCAAAAAAAAAAAAAAAAAAAAAAACAAGGGGAGATGTTCTCGGTTTTACATTATATTGACGTACGCTATTCTTAAGCCAACCGTATATATCGCCGCTTTCTGCTTCTGCTGGGCTGTTGATCTTCCTCCTCTTTCTGTCGTCTTTCTTCTTATCTTTGCATTTCTGAATGGCCGAGTAAGGCTCGGCGTCATGAGCTGCGGAACGACACCACAGACGCACCCTCACTTGTTTCTGCATGCCGGGTCTAGAGAACTTACATTTATTTTTTTCTCTTTGTTTCATTCACAACCTCCTCACTTTCACGGGTAAAAAGAAGTGTGTTTGCTATCTCTAATGCATGAAGATGACAGCATAAAAGGGAAGAAAAGAAGTAACTGCTTGCAGCCTTGCTGTGTGTCTCACCAACATAGTCGATTCGGTGTTTCTCTACAAACTCAGGGGTGATGATCCAGGGGCAGGGGGCGATGACCTCATCTACCCATTTAATATGACGAAGGGTTTCTGCGCGTTCTTCTAAGCTCTGCACAGTCTGACCCTTCAGCCTGTGGGTCTCTTCATCTGAGGCTACACCGGCCATCAAGTACACGTGCTTGAACATCTTCTTGGCCTGCTCCAGTTGCCGCATATGGCCAAGATGCAGGAGATCATAAACCCCTACAAATACACAAAGATATCCAGATATAGATGTGAGGAACACGTGCTCTGTCGTGGACTCTAACACGCACAAGGCCGCTATAGGCCCCAGCCGCCCCCGCCCGACAGACCGTCTTACCATCGGTATATATGCGAACGGGCCTCTCGGGGTCCTCCCCTTCTGCCAGCTCCGCAGGGGCAGTGCCCTCGGAGTCAGGCTGTGGAGGTGGGTCTTCGGCTGCCTTGCGCTTCTTCATAGATGAAAATGTGCTGCTGCTGCTCAGCCGTCTGCTAGGTCAGCACGAGGAGGCGCAGTGCTCCGCGATCGATCGCAACGGAGCTCAACGGAAGCAACTGAAATGAAGAGGGAATTTCAAGAAAGAAACAGTGAGAGATGCGGCTACTCCTTGTCCGTAGCACACACATACAGAGGCGGCTGCTTGCTTCTAGCTGAGACGTTTTATACCCAGTTAGCGATGCAGAGGACTCCGTATTTATATCGCGTAAAGTTTTGTGGGCGGCGTCCTCGGGGCCAGTAAAATAATTACAATTAAACACACTGTGTGTTCATCACGGGTTTGTCTGAAGGCCCGACAGCCGCGCCAACGCAGCGCCTCTACCCGTCACTACGCTGTCTTTGAGACAAGAAGAAAACAACACGGAATAATGCTGGAAATAAAAACACCTAAAGTTAACTGCGACAGGCCCAGTACAAGACAAGCACGGGCCCCGTTGTCGGCAAGGCACAGGCAGCCCTCCTGGGGCTGAAGAAGGGTCGGTGTTCGGTGCTGGTGATAGCCATTTATGTATTGTTCTTTTTAAAGGACTAGGGAAAGCAGAATGTAGTGCTCGAATTAGAGTTGGACGCGTGAGGCTGAGGAGCTGTAGGCCTCGTAGAATATACAGGTTCAGCCCTTCACCAGCATCAACGAACGGCTGTCTGTGTAGTGCCCTGGAGTTCACTAGCTGACTATAGGATCATGAACACCGTGCTGGACAGTGGCTATGTCAATATACTTATTCTCTCTCACTAACTGCAAAGTTTGATGATCATCCTGTATGTGTAGCTAGAAGAAGCGGGAGCGAGATAGCAATTTATGGCTGTCCCCATACCTGTAGCATGGGCTGCCTGCACGCTTGGCCTTTGGAGGTTGCATGTATGCAAATACGAACGTCTATAAGTGTATTCAGAGGTAAAGCATGCAGTAAAGGAAGCGTCGTTGACGCTTCTTTCTCTGCGCAGATGAGGCTGGCTCGCATCACCAGCCGCAGTGAGGTGCGCTGCTACTCAGGCTGCCTCCTGTCCGCAGCACCCAGGCCCTGAGTTCATTGCACACGATGCCTGGCGACAGGGGAATGGGGTCAGTTGCTTTGGGAAAGTCTTAGTTTAAGTATTTACCTCCACTGCAGCTCGCTTCTGTCCTCGGCCAAGGCCAGAGAGCGAGCGTTCTACTCTGTTCGCATAGTGGTTTGAACTGGGACTGCAGCACCTTTGGGAGAGCTCTCAAAGAGAGGGAAAACGTACGAGCTGCCGCACAGAACCACGCTGCTCCGTGGCTCCAAATTATTCACAGGGAATATATTTCTTTTCGTATGTTATTTATCCAGCCGACGCACGAGCTGGCTAGGATCGGGTAGCGCGGGTCGTTGGCCGTATTCGAGTGCTGTCGCGAGTTGCAGTGAAACCGAATACTTAAAATAAGAGCTTTCTAAAAGCATCTGTCATCCCTCCCGTGCCCACAGAGGTCCTGGGAGCAGCGTCTCAGGGGCTGGGACCGCGGTAGGGAAGGCGGCCTCACATACACTGCAACGTGCCTTGCTCCAACCAGTGGTGCAAGGAAGCCTCACATGCAAACGCATCCAAGCATTCCGTGTTGCATGCATTGCATCTGTAAACTCTTTTTGAGCATGTATACTTGCTTGCAAGCAGCCTACCAATGTCAAGTGAATGTTCCTCTGCTAGCATCGGCCCGACTATTCAACAGGCCGGCCCCGACGGTGGGGATAGGAGCACTGCTGGCACTCCCTTTATCTGTCAGCACCCTCGTTTATTGATTAACTTTCTTCTATTCAGGCTATATCGCGTACTCTACTATATCTTTTCTGATCAGTTATAACGAGGGTCCTTCGTCTTACCTGAGGAAAGTCGCGACCTGCAATAGGGTCAAAAGACTCAAGGTAAGAGTTTTCAAAACGCAGCTAGATTCACCAGCCGGGCTGGAACAAGCGACGAGTGGGCCTGGGGGAGAGAAAGAGGAGGCGGCCTGACACGAGTTGCAACGCACCGTGCTGCAGCACGTGCCGCAACGCAGCCCCGCGTGCGCGTACAAGCAAGCCCTATTGCTGCTTGTACTCACACTACAGACGAGTGTTGAGCGCTTATTTAGCCTGCATGCAAGTAGGAATACACGAATCAACTTGACACACACAACTCTACCTCTGCCCCCTAAAACGCGAAATGCGAAAAGGAAATGGAGCAAATAGAATCCAGATACGCCGTCGTGCTGCTGCTACTGGTTCGAATGTCGTGTCAGAAGCACCCCATCCTCGTGCCCACCGGTTACTTGAGGCCTTCCAGGCTGCCTAAGGCTGTTGATAGCCCCTTTGTGGAGCGGACATCCAAACCCACTGGAAAATGGATACCGAGATGCTGCCACTGCGCAGCTTCCGTAAACGTGTGAGCGGTCGCCGAGCCAGCCGTGGAACTTAACCCCAAAATAAGGAAAATTTCAAAGTGCAGTCGACTTCGGCGCCGAATGCTCTACCGGTTTAGAGAACAGCACCGATCACAGCAGAGATGAAAGTAGGCCCTGAAACCAACACCAGATAGATATGAACGATATACTCCTCATGGTGGAATCGCTTTAGCTTAACCATACACTGCGGCCCAATTATAAGCTAAGCCGCTCATGCCCACGCTTGCCGTCGCTGTTGTTGAGTCGATGAGGACCTGCAAATACTCCTCGAGAATTTGTTTGTGCAGTTCGTCCTCAGAAGCCCGCCGTAGCTTCTGGCTTCATGGTCATTTTAGATAATATTATTGTTTGCTTTTGCATCTGCGGGTTGTAATGTGTTTGTCCAGGGTCTCCATCGTCTCCACTTGCTCCCTCTTGCTTCGAAGTTCCTGCAACTTTGTGGCGACCACACGGGGAAATTTGGGGGATTCATTCAGCCATCTTAGGGAACCAACACTAAGAATAACGGAAACATCACCTAGAAGCACAGTTGCAGAACAATGTGCTTAACCTGTAGGCAGCCGGGAGAGTGAATCAGCGACCACGCTGTTGTTGCCCTAGGCATACTTGACTGTGAAGTTGTACTGCATGAGCCGGCCAAGCCACTGACCAACCCTTTCGTTAACATAGTGGTGAAGACTCTTCGTCTGCTGCGCCAGGGTATTGATGATCTGCTTGGAGAGTGAATCAGCTGCCATATAGGTAGTGTCGAGGTTTCTTTGCATCCCATCAGATCGCGTAGATATGCTTCTCCTGTACCGGGTTCTTCTGCTACCATTCTGTGAAATAATATGAGTAGGAGGAGACCGTTTTTGGTTTTTTTTTGAGCCGTTGACTTTCTGAGGCAACTTCATCTCAATTGTCGCGTCGCTGGCATCCGTTGCTAGGAAGGGGGTGGTTATCACTCCAAATGAGCTGCTTGTCCTTCTTATGCAGGTCCATTAGGGAGGTGGCAATGCCACCGGATCCAGGAATGATTCTACGGTAGTGCTATGTGAGATATATGAACCTCTGAACGCCTGTCCGAGCGTACATCGGTAGCGGGGCTTCCCGAATTGCCTCAGTCTTCGCCAGATTCTTCCTGCTGCAGAGATACGAACTCCCAAGAAGCTAATGGTTTGCATGAAAACGAAGGCTTTTGTGCCTTTACAAACCACTGCTTCTCACGCGGCAGCTGCAGAAAACGTTGCACGTACAGAAGATTCTCCTGCAGATTCCGGTTGAACACAAGCATATCATCAATTTCTATTAACTATACATCCCTCAGCGTTTGGCTCCAAGAAATCGTTATGAGCCTGTCACTGCACTTCAGCAGGCACATTCACGAGCTCAAATTGTGTACATTTGTGTTACAGTTTGCAAGCGCCGGCATGAAACGCCGTCCTGCGCCTGTCGCCGGGATGCATTGAAGCATGCAAAAGTGCTTCAGCGAAGTCAAATGATGAATAGAATGCTAAGCCCTGCAGGCGTTTAGGTAGTTCGTAGAACTGGGGTGCTGGAAACTTCTGTTTCATCGTTATTTTGTTGAACGCCTTGAAACCGACGCACATGCGCCACCTCCCGTTCTTTTTACTTGGCAACGCCGGATTGTGTGGGTGCTAGTTGACGGTTGAACATTGCCTTTTCTTATCAGCTCGTCTGCTTACTGCTCAATTTCCTCTTCAAGATATAGAGGTTGTGCGTACATTGGACGAAATTTTCGGTGCAAAAGCCCTCCGTCTTACCCGAGGTGTTTCGTCAAGAGCTGCAGTAGCGTCAAACCGCCTAAGGTAAGAATTCTAGAAAGCGGATGAGATACTCTCCATTCACCAGGCAGCCTGCTACGGGCGGCCCAAGGGCATGGGGCCATTGGAGAGGAGGTGTATTCAGCACGAGTTGCAGTGCACCCAGCTCCAAATCGTGTTGTAGCGCAACCCCACATGCATACACAGCATAGCCCCATCTACTAGATGCACAAACACTATCACCAGTTGTTGAGCACGTACTTGACCGCCAGCAGCCATCCTACACGCTTGCAGAAATAAACCGAGCAGCTTCACACACAACATGCTACACCAGGAGTGCAACTGCATCTAGCCAGCGTGATAGCTGGTTCGATTGGGTCGCCGCACCGAACCGAACCAGCTAGAATGTCGGTCGGGTAAGGAACACAAACGCACAGAAATGCTGTTCCTGTTATTAGTTTAGATCTACGTAGCAACATGCTTCCGTTCTGCATCTCCTATGTTTTGACCCCTTTGTGAGGCATCACTGGAGAGCGCTGTTTTTTTTTGCACTTTGACTCGGTACGATGCCATTAGAGACGCCAATACAAAATATCTCTCCCCAGTAGTATTCTCGTCACACTTACCCAAAGATCACCGAATTTATGAAATAGTAAACAAAAATATCATATATTGCCAGCGGCGATGAACCACAAGAACCGCACGGTGTCGATGAACCCATAGCCACTGAATCTCCGAGCACTCTATCCGAGCATAGTAGAAAGGGAGTTATTTAGCGTCCATCTTTTGATACGTTTGATTAAAATAGTTTATAATCTATTTTTAAATAATATTAAATGTATATGAATTGTTTCTGAGGAGGAATTTACGCGTCTTTTTGCTCGGTTTGCACGCAGCAGCACCTTGTGCTCGCACTGCAATCGAGAACAGATGGTGCGGGCTTGCGCCCCCTACGCGGTTACCGTGGGGTCTTCTCCTCATGCACGCGTTCAATGGGGTGAGAATAAGTTGTCTTCTTGTATTGTATTCTCCTCATTCTATTTTTTCTGCATTTATATTCGATCTTTATCCCGAGAAACCTCTCAAAATGACAAAGTAAGCCGTTCATATTTCAGTTTCGTGTTCCTCGTGCTGCGACGGTGTGCTTTTCTTGATGGGTTTCGACTGTCTTCTTACGAGTGATCTTCTTCTTTATGAGTATTCTTTGGTGTAGTTTATTGTATTTTATTTATATTTTGCTTTTTTTTTATTTTTCTCTTGTTTCTGTGCACAGCAAGGAAACCCTCGGCAGCGCCCCCATCGTCATCGGCGACGATGTTCGCTACAGCCCTGATGACTTGCTGCTACCCAAGCAGTACCACAAATACATCGAAAATATAATTATCCCCAACGGGATCCTCATGGATCGCGTTGAGAAGATGGTGGGTTTCTTGTTGCTGTTTCTGCTGCTGTTGCTGCTGCTGTTGCTGCTGCTGTTGCTGCTGCTGCTTCACGTTGTTGCACAGCGACGAGGTGTGCGGGGCATTGAACTGTTCGTCTTCGTCCATATCCTCATTGAATTGTTGTAATATACTCATTTATTTTTTGTCTATAAACCTGAATGTGGTCGATTACATCCTGTTTATGTATTTTTTTTTGTATTTTTTTTTGTGTGGTTGTGGTTTCAGGCATACGACATCCGCAAGGCATACAAGAACCGCGAGGTGCACTGCCTGTGTTTGTTGAAGGGTTCACGAAGCTTTTTCTCTGCTCTGTTTCAGCATTTGGCGAAGTTGAGTTTGTATGATGAGGAGGCAACATGCCCGCCTTTCTTTGAACATTACCTGCGTGTGAGCTCCTGCGTGGGTACGGAGAGCACGAACCAGCTGAAGGTTGTCAGTGATGATCTCTCCTGCCTTCGAGGCAAAGATGTATTGATAGTAGAAGATATTATAGATACAGGTCTCACACTGACAGAACTGCAGAAATATCTGCAGCAGTTTGAACCCAAGAGTGTACGCATAGCAACGCTTACCCTGAAACGTACAGAACGATCAAATGGCCAGTCTGCTGATTTTGTTGGTTTCTCTCTTCCAGATAAATGGGTTATTGGTTTTAGTTTTGATTGCAACCAAATGTTCAGAGATATGCCTCATGTATGCACACTAAGCGACAACGGCAGAAAGCTGCTTGGCTTAAAGGGCTAAGCAACCAGACAATACAGGTGTATTCTTTTTCGTATTCTGATTTATATTTATATTAAAATTATTATTATTATTATTATTATTAATGCTGTTTTCATCATTTTATCTCGCTATGGCGCAGCCTGTATTCTAAGAAACGCAGATACAGACAGATACAGTGTTGTGTGCGTGCTGCGTGCTGCGCCGCTAGAGCCCTAAGCGAGAGTGCTTACTGATGTGTTGCATGTTTATAATAAATGTTTATTCTTGGCTTTCAATTTGATTATGTTTATATATATATTTATTTATATTTATTTATTTATCTAGGCAAATGTTTGACGCTGATATAATATAATAAGAAACACGCGGATACACGCCTCAGTACAAGTCGTGGGGCTCCGCATCTTTGGCTGTTCTTTAAAAACAAATTAAAAATTTCGTATTGTTTGTTGAAATTAAAAAATATTAATCAATTTGTATTATTGGAAATAGAAAGAAACAATCATATAAAGTAAAGTTTTATAGACATAACCACTTTTGTTATATTTAGTTATAGTTTAGCTCGTATAAGTCAGGAACAGGTAGACACACAGGAAGTAATAAACGTATTAAATTCGTAGATATATATATATATATATATATATATATAGGGTATAGTAACCAGGAAGAGGTGTAGGAGACGCGAGTTGTACTGGATAGTATACGGGGAGTTATAAGATTAGGATGATGTATAGTGTTGTAAGTAGCGACAAATAAACAAAAAAGAAGAAAAGGAGAAATTAAAAAAAGTTTAAAAGAAAAAGAAATAATGCAGTCCTCTACGCGCACAGTATACAGTGGCGCCGTGAGCTCACAAAGCTCTTGCACTTCTATATTATACGCTGTACTAATATATATATATATATATATATATATATATATATATATATATATATATATATATATATATATATA